TAAGTCTTACTCATCTGCATGCCTTCTTGCTTAATATTTGTTCAATATGTATTTGAAACTGTTAGTGGTAGGTTTTGGGTTTTACTGAAATCACTTAGCCTATTTATTCATGTACAATTTAATAGGTATTTTGTGCCTCTATATTTCAACATTACTTAATTGATTGTTGGATTATTTTGTTTTTTTACATTCAATATTATTATTTCACCATCTAAGTATTCTCATTACTATAACATTCTAATTCTTTCTTTACAGAAACATGAGTATATTTTAAATAATAAGAATGAATCGTTTGAAAATAAAATCGAATCTCTAATAGATGTATGGAGAAGCATTGCAGAATTAAACCTATCACAATTTGATCTTCGACATGTTATTCAAATTATGGATTGGGCAAAATTACATGCTTTAAATATTGTTCTAACTGCTGAATGGAATAGTTTTAAAGGTAACTTCAACGATTTTTTCACAATTTAATCTCTAATTTATCTAAAATTATCTATTTGGTCTATGGAATGCAACATTTCAGAATTTAATTCTATAATTACATGTGTATTCATGTTACATTCTTGCTAACATTCCAGTAATTGTTTGCTGTAAAAAGTAAAAAAATCTTATTGTTTACAGTCTTTATAAATAATATTTCTTGCCAAAAAATGTGTGGAATTTCTAAAATTATTGTAATTAAATATGTGTATTTTTGTATCTAGCTTAATCCATATCTAAACAGTAAAATGCCAGTTACTGTTTTTGTATTTTGATCTTGATAATTCAATTAGTTTGTTTTGTTAATTATTGAATATTTAATGATGACTAATGGATTAATTTGTTACTGTTTAGGCAGTAATTATTATTTTAGTACAATTGTTCTATTTAAATTATATCAAATTATGCAATGTTTATACAACAGTGACTTTTAGCGAACTATTTTTTAAACTTATCTTGCATTAAGTTGCAAGTTTCAAGATACTAAAATATTATTTTTTGACAAATCGACAAATTTTACATAATTTTTAATTTTGCATTGCTTCATGTATTTTTTTATACTTTCAGTTACATACCAATCTAAATTATTGGATGAAATAGGAAAAGCTCAAAATGAACTTCTTAAGTTGAATAATGCATTTGCAACTCCTTGTAAAAAGTTAGCGGACGTAGTCAAAAATCCATGGGAGGATCCAGTATTAATGAAACTAATGAAAACAAAAGATGCGGAAATTAATACGGAAGGTAAATAAACTATTACAATGCTATTTATTTATCACTAATCTTTATTTATTTTTTTTAGAAATTGAATTTTTTTGTGTAGAAACAGTTTATCTTGTGTCTGTTAGATTAAAAAAATTGTGTGAGTCCCATTGTGAAGATTTAGCGTTAAATTTAGTTACGGCTTTTATGAATTGCAATAAGTTATCAAAAACCCAAAATTTTAGTCTTAATGCTACAGAGACTCAGATGTGGTTCATTTTTGATATTTACATAGCTTTACTGTACAAATTTCAAGATAAACAGAAAATTGTGGTCTTGGTAAGATTAATTTTGTTATGAAAATTATTTATCTACTATTATTAATCTTCGTTTTAGCTAAAAGAACTTTCATTCGATGAAGGGCTTCAATTGGTAAAGAGATTTGCCAAAAAGCGCGTGAAAATATCAAAAATTTGGAAGAACTGCCAACGTATAGCCATTCTAGCAGTACAACTGTATATTTCTCAAGCGGTTGTTAAATATACTGAGGAACTAAAGGAGATTCTGGAGAATTACATTGAAATTTATATTTCCTTGTGCAATACCGAAGTGTTATTACAGGATTTTTCAACATCTATCCGAAGGATAAGCAATTTAGCCGACGCTGCTGGATTATACATATTCTGCAGTGTCATGCAGAGAAAGGTAAGTTCTTATTTTTTGTTACGAAATATTTATTCACATAATTGAAAAAATATTAATCTGAAAATTAGTACATTTAATTGTATATGTTGTCAATATTGTACGTTGTTTCTTGTTTTTATACTAAAGGATACATTCGTTCATCTTTTGTATTCATATTCTTTCTAGTTTTATTTTTTTTTGTTTTTTCAACGCATATTTTGTTTAAACATAGGCTGGTACTCCACTAAAACCATTGGTAGTCGAGATGTACATACGGGCGCTAACGACTGATATGAACGAATTGGAACGTCAAAAAGATGCGAACGAATCGGAAAAAGTTTCTGCGACAACATCTAGATTGGCAGAGGCGTTTTGTAATCTGGCTGATTTCCTCGATGAGCACGTGAAAGTCGCAAGGGAATGTGTTTTAACTGCGTTTAGTCTAGAACCGACTAAACAACGCTTGGAGTATATTGAAACATTGGCAAAAAGGAGCGGATTTCAAGTCTTAGATACAGGCCAAGAATGGAAGTGTAAACTGCATCCTCCGACTTCACCATCTGACGAAATAACTTGGATGTGTCCAGAGTGCGGCGACTGGATGTCGAAACCTGAGTTTAATGTACCGATTAAAATAAACATGGCTCTTAATGAGGCTCTGCAAAACTCTGTGCTTGGAATTTCGGAATCTTTATGCGACGATCTGGTAGTGTGTCTCTCTAATCCCCGATATCAGATATTAAGTTGGTTTTTACCTTGGGAAGACTTACATCGGCTATGCTTGATGTACTTGCAAGATCCTCAGGCTACTAAGAACATTGTTACGGAATTAAAATTTGTTGACATTGATTATTCTATATTTAAAGGCATTAAAAGAGAGCCTCTTGATGAATACGATGGAATTGAAAGAGGTTACGAGCAGTATTTGGATCAAGATTTTGTGTCTGATGAAGAAACTACCTCAAACAGTGAAGATTCGATGTCCCAAGATTCAAGACCTTATAGCCTCGGCAGCGATGGAGCAGGAGAGGGTCCTTATTTACCAATGCTTCCAGTGCAATCCAAGTCTGATCCCAACACTTTAAAGAGCTTGCGAATGTTTCGTCATAACCTTAAGAGAGGTCGAGATAAGGAAATTGACGAAGGAGCGCCGGAGAAATTATTCAAATCTGATACAAATATTGCGGCTGTGGACGCTGTAGATGATCCAATTGAACCGCAGAATATTGACACAAATATCTGCAATCCTACGTTAAATCAACTTCTAAACGGGGTTGCTGCGAAGATGTCGACTGTGCAATATCCAAATACACACAGCGGTATAAAAAATCCTAGCAACAAAGATTTTCATTCAAAAAACGTAAAGACTGCCACGTTGCCTCTGCTTGGTGGGCAAGTGGCGAAGAAGGAAAACACTTTAATCCAAGTAAACCTAAAACAACTCCGCGAAACTCGCCAGGAGATCGAAATTCCTTCTCACATGAAAATTCCAGTCAGCAAAATTTTCAAAAAGAAACCGCCCAAAAAAGATCAAAAAGTCAAGACACTAAACAAATCCTTATGGAGTGGTTTGAAAGAAAGCAGCAGTTACAGCTTAAGCAGCAGAAAAATGTTGCCGGAATCCCGACCCACGTCGGGGGTCAGAGTTTACAAAAGAAAGCCTCGAGTGGAACCAACGCAAGCAACCAATATCCCTCGTACACAGTTCAATCAGATTGTACCAACAGCCAAAAGAGAGAGTTTCAGAACGGATCTAGTGCAAGATACTCGGTTAAACCAAGCAGCACAATCCCCTCATCAACAATATCTAATTACGCCAAATCTGAACTCGCAAATTGTTCTATCAGTCAATCAGCAAATCAGTTCTCTGCACCAAACATTTACGGTATGCAGTCAGAATCAAGCAGTAGAAGAATTGGGCAGTCATCAAACAAAGCATTCAGGACTGGAACAACCAGAGATATTACATACCAACAGCCCGGTACTTCCTCAAATCAAACCATTAACAATACCTTTAGTGGCACTACAATCCAAAATAGTGGAAAAATGTCTGAACACCAATTGTTTGACAAAGAATTATATTCAGCAATGCAAGGACAGTATGAGGGATATTCACAGGTCAACGCAAACCTCGGAATCGAGCAAAACAATAAATTCCAACCAACCTTATGTTCCGTTGATAAAAGTAGAACATCTACAACCCAACCTAATTTCTACACGGGAATGCATCCAGACACCATCAGTCAATCAAAACCAGATACCAATCAAGCATTTGGTGTCTACCAATCAAACGAACAAACAAGAAAAATCGCCGAACTCCTCTTATCAATGTCTCAAACAACCACAACAGGAGGTCACCAAGGAAATTATGAACTCTATTCACAACCAGGTCTTGCAGATACCAATAAAACGATTGAACATCGTAAAGGAAGTTCAGGAAGAGAAACAGTCAGAGAATTGCTCCAGTCTTTTTCTAAAAAGGGAAATACAGTTGGAAGAGCATCAGTTTCGACTGCAGCAACCGTTAAATCAGACGCAGCATACGACTTTAAAGTGCCACAGTCTTATGTTTCAATCAACCAGCACCCGGGAGCAAACGCTCAAACAGAAATTTCACAACCAATTTGCTATGTACAACTAACTTCTTACCAAAATCCGAATCAGGTCCATCTGGAATACTCGCTAAGCAATTGCTTCAACCCACAAACCACGCAGGAAAAGCACCCTTTGGAGATCAAAACTCTAATCAACCAGCAACTGCAGGAATCAGTCAAAGAAACGCAGTATCATCAAATAACCCATACAACACAGTCTTCCCATATGGAAAAAACATTTCTTCAGTGCAACAAAATATTCAATCAAATTTCATCAGACCAGTTACTTCCTCAGCACAATCGATTGGAGAAAATAACAGTAACTGTGAATCCCGAAAATTTTCAGTCGACCAAAACGTATCAACATTCTCACAGCAATTCGGAACCAACCAAAAGCATATTACTTCCGCCGAAGGAAGTCCAAAACAACAAAGACCCGGATCTAAATCAAACGTTAATCAACAGGAATTCATTGCACAGCAATTGCTGCAGTTCGCTCAAAGTTCCCAGTCACTGTCCCAATTTAGACAAGTCGCTGATTTCACAGGACAATCAAGCCAAGTTGCCGCAAACACCCAAGGCAGACGTACAAACAACGTTACAGGATTCCCAAGTGAGCACGTTATCAACACAAACTCACAACATGACATTAGCAGTCTCGGACAAAATACTCAGGGGAACATCACCAAGCAGTGTCAACAAACCAATGAATTCGGACAAACCATTCCTATCAGCCAAGCACCCAGAAAATACCAGAATATCTCAGAAGCTGGACAACAACGAGATAGAAATTTGTCAGACGCTGAAGAATTTTTGCAATTCCTTGAATATTATAAACAAAAATGATCAACCTCCAAATAACACCGCATATGATCTAAAAGAAATGGAAACTGATGGTTGTAACAAAAACGAAACCGTTGATGTTTCCAGTGATGATATTCATGTTAGATGTGTCTTAAAAAACATAAATTATGAGCTGTTTTCTGACTTGCACGAAGCACATTCTGATAACATTGAAAATTGTGATTTGGCATCGATTGCGAACGAGAATGAGATTGAAAATGCTGACCCGGAAGATTTACCAAAGAATATAAATTTGACTGAAAACATTAGAACGTATACAAAAAAATCAAAGAGAAAACTATTAGAGGAATACAAAGACTGTGTTAAAACACTGACTGGTGTTAATGTATTAGATGTTTGTAAAAATGTAAATATTATAAATAGTATTGAAAATTTACATTCCAATGTACAATATTCTTTGACCAAAACTAAAGAATTGAAAGTTATTTTATGCCGCCTATCTTCAAGCAAGAGAACTGATGGAAAGCACACATCAAATAAGGAAGAAAATTGTAACATTAAATTAAAATGTGATAGAGGAAAGACTCCTCCAAAATTTTTCAAAAGACGTAAAAGTTTGGATAAGTCGGAAAATAAAATTGGAAAAGCACCAAATGCAGTACAAAGTCACAATCTTTCACCATTACAAGATGTCAACTTAAGAGTTAATTCACAATTGAATTCAAAGATTTGTTGTGATCTTAACAAGTCGAATAGTTTAGATAAATGTAAACCCAATTGTGAGTGCTCAGAAAAATCTTTAGACTTGAAATCCCAAGATAATATAGTTCCTATTATCAAAAAAGCTTATCTTCAATCAGTTTTATCACATATTCCCGGTCTTAACGATTTTCAATTAATAAGACCCACTAACGCCCCTCAAGTCGTCAACGTCGTACAAGTTTCCGGAGGAAGACAAGCACAAAACGTTACCATTCAAAGTTCGCAGACCAGCACCCAAGTTACGCCTCATATCCAGCGAATTGGTCAGCCGAGGGTTGCTGAACAGAAGCCGGAACATTCAAATTCTGTTACACCAACGACGCAAACGACGTCTACCACAAGTGCCACGAGAACAACTTCTACTCAGCCATCGACGCTCATCAACATACTCTCACAGCAGATTATTAGACCAGTTTCTAACTCTACCGGAAACACTGTGCGGCGACAAGGACCGCTCATCAATCTTCTATCCCAGCAGATGATAAGGCCCGCATTAACTGCCAAACGGTAGTCAACAGCTCCAACACTACACCTACCATCGTTGAAACTAGTCAAGTAAGTCAATTTATATTTATTTACGTTATTTAGTTTATAGTCTGGTTATGTTTGATTTGACATTTTCGTTAAAGCAAACAAATATTTTCTTATATCAATCTGTAATTTGGATATTATTATAAAAACAACACAATTTTTCCAGGCAAAACCAACAGAGCAAACCGTATTGAATAACACCATCAAAACAACAAATTCCGTTGTTAAAAATACAAACACTTCGACTACTGGTCAGGGTAGCACGATTCTCCAGTTCATTTGTAAATCATCGTTGCCGAAATTTCAGCAGGCTTTTGGCAAAACGGTGTACCAAAACAACAATGAGACTTCGGAAACACCCACCACAACGGTCGAGGTGGTGGCTAATGCCGCTACCGAAGTGAAAAAAACATTTACGACGAAGACTGTGCCTGTCAATTTGCAACCTATTCCGGGCAGCGTAATTTACAGTAGGCAACTTCCTGCTGGACAAGCCATTAGTTTATTGCCATCCGGCACGGCAACCACTCGACAAGTTTTCCGTATCGCTACGTCGAATGCCGAACAACTCGGTCTAGTAAAAGACAGCGTTATACACAGTAAAATGAGCGCGTTGCTTGCGGCAGCTTTACAAGGTCGACCGAAAACCGCCGACGGCGAAATCATCTTGAATAGCGACGAGATTAAAGAAGCCGTTGTTCGACCGGCTCTCGTACAAGGAGCAAGAATTGTAAAGCCCGTGCAATTACAAATGGCAACGAACGTGGTGAGGTCAAATACGCAGCAACCAAACTTAAGTTCTACAACATTAGAACAACTGAGAGAGTTCGATATGGTTTATAAGCAGATTAAAGAAAGAAGCACTACTAGTATTTCAGAAACGTGTACCAACGCAGAAGGCCAAGAAGGCATACCGCAAAGGATTAGTGTTACATATGTTAACCAATTGCAAAAGTACACCCAATTGTCTCCGGTAGTTGTTGTAACGTCGTACAGCAATTTACAGCCGGCTGCATCACCAGCATTAAGTGTAACGTCTCAGGGAAGTTCAAGTCCTTGCGTAACGCCGGCTTCAACTCCGACGTTGCCAAAGCTAGCGACAAAAAATTCCAAGGGAAAAACCATAAAAACAACAACGCCCAATAACACGCAAGCGAAATCTTCGCCCATACCTAAACCGCAACAGAAGCCTCAGGAAGACGAGCACACGACGCAAAGAATATTCGACATACTGGCCGAATACGCGGAACAAACTAAGAAACTCCCCCGACCTTAACAACAAACCGGCGCCAAGGCGGAGATCGAATCCGCCGACTAATCCAAGCCAGAATTCTAAAAGGAAAAAGAGCTCGTCCACTGTGAAAAAGTCCGGCCCATCCAACAGTTCGATCGAAATGGACAACGATGATGTAACGATTGGTAGCGAAGACAGTTCCGGTGGTGGTGTGGTTCAGCTTTCAGTTACAGACGACGAACAATCTCAAGCGTCCACTTCGGTCAACACGACTGAGTCGAGCAATGAAAACCCGAGTCCTCCTAGCGCGAGGCCCGTCATCCTGGCCGAAGGCCCGCCTGCCAATCAATCCAGGAACCTCATCATCGCCGATTCGAGCGTGGGAGAAGCACTGAAGATACCCAACACCGCAGTAATTGTGCCGGGAAGTTACATAATGCCAGTATCGATGGTGAAAGGTAAGCGTAGAAGTTTACGTATTAGAATGATGTTAATACATCGCAGGATAATTGTAGAAGATGTATATGTGTAGATTTTTTTTGTGTTCGCAATCATATTCTAAATAGCCATTATACTGATCCGAAGTTCTTTAATATGCTTGTATGGCATTGTTATTAATGTTAAATAATTGTTTTTGTGATTTACAATGGTTTATTTAGAATTTACTTGAATGTAAATTCGTTGATTACACACCATTACTGTAGATAATTGCAGGTACATCTTTCGTTTGTGCTTTTTTTATGTTTTATTTGCTGATTAGTTTGAGGTTTGTTGTTACAACTCCGACCTAAGGATTCGGATGTTACTTTGAATTATTTTACTTAGTATTGCATGTTTTGTGCTGTAATTACTTATTGCAAGGTTGCTTACAGCACAATTTTGTGTTAATACGTTAATTTGTCATACTGTTCTTAATTTCCTGCCTCTTCAACATCGAAATGAAATTAAATTAAACGGATTCATATGTATTATATTATCTAGGCATATGGCCTGAGCGTGTATTAACATGCTCGTAATGGTATAATATTGTTTTCTAACATATCTAGACTATTCTTAATAATTTCTCATTATTAATTTTTTTATAAATTTGTTGTATCTACATTAGAAAAATTGTGTAAATTTCATTGAATTAGATTTGTTAAATTATTATTATTTTGTCTCATTATTTGTAATAATAATGTTTAATTGAAATTTATAAAGATACAATCCAAAAATATCTGTGACTAAAAAGAGCTTTTAATTGGACACCAGTTAGTAGGGAAAGTAAAATACTAATGCAATCTCTAGAAATCGGCGGCTTTTACTTTTACTTCAGTTGTAAATTATAAATTAGTATATGTTTACTTAATTATTCCAAGTTTCTATTGATAAAAGAATTAGCATTGGACATACCATAATTATCATTCTTTTAGCATAATTGAGAAAAGTATGAGATATGTTTTGAAAATATTTAAATTACAAACGGGACTCAGTTTCGAACTACCGACAATAAAGTTGGTACCAATCATTCTCGAATTTATCAGGATCTCATTTAACTAAGAATTTCCTCACACAACTGAAAATATAAAAATTCTTATATCACGCACTTTTTATCTTCACCTACGTCATGTCAGTTTAATTGCTGTAAATGTTTGGTAAATTTTGTTTTATGTGTTTCTTGTGTATTAAAATTTTTATTGCATTTGATTGTTGCCTTTGATGTGTTCATTTTATTTCATTAGGAATTTTAAATCGAGGTAGTACGCGAGTTTTCCTCCCAATATTTTGAAGTATTATAAGTACTACATAGAAGTTAAACCTTTGTAATAAATTGTTTTTAAAACAGATCTCATTAAAAAATTTGCGTTAAATACTTTTAACAAATTGTTTAGAAGCAATTTTGTTAATATTTATTTCAAATAGTTTTAGAAAGTTTAATTTTTTAGAAGACTGCATTGTATTAAACGCTCTAAGTTTGCGTAAACTACTAATGAGTTAGTATTTAGTAACAGGGTTATTATTTCAAAGTTTCTTTGCAAAAATATCAGAATATTTTGTTCAATTTGTGAAAAACGTGTATATACAACTTGCTGTATTAATTACTTCAAATAAATTTATTTATTTTTTATTTTTTCTTATTTTTTCCTTTTCCTTTAATTTTTAAACTTATTTATTATTTTAAAATACAATTAAGACGATTTTTTTTGCTTTTTGCTGCCTGGAATTGCCTTTTTTTGTATCGTTGTCTTGAAATTTATTTTCAGTTTCGTTAAAATTATTTTTGAATTGGTTAATTACGGTTATATGTGAATTTATTTTGGTATGTAGAAAAAGTCGCTGCAAAACGAAAGAAGAGCAGTATAACGCATTTTGCACCAGTTTGTGTTTGGCTGCAATTTTTTTTTTTGAGTGCGTAGTTATTAGACTACATGTATATATTGTGTTGAACTTGTGAAGATTGGATTGAAAATTTAGATTAAAAGATGATAAAAATGTTAACCATTCGAGTTCTTACAAATTTTACTATATTAGGAGGTCAGCAAATTGCAGTGGTATCGGGCGGAAGCAAGATTCTAGCCACGGTTCCAGCTAGATCGGGACAAAACATGCTGTTATTCCAAAGCTTCACCAACCAGAACAGGAAAGCTATATCTGCTGTAAAGTATTCAGCGATACAGCCTTTAACCGGTATCACAACTCAAACGCTGACCAGCGTTGGCCAGCAGCCGGTACTCCTGCCTTCGACTGTTGCACTCGGTCAACCCCTCACCCTGAAGCGAATAGGAGAGGAAAGGGACAACAGCGAACTCCTGTTGACCGTTGCACAACCCAAGGATGAACCAAAAGACGCCGGTGACGCGCCACAACCGGACAGCAGTACTAATCTACCAGCTGAGATTAAAATAGAAGAGATTAAAATCGAAGATCACTCGGATAATTCCGAAGAAAATTACCAAAAGACGGTTATCAGTTCTGTAGAAACTTCGGTTATAGCTACAACAGCGCCTACGTCTAAGGCGCAAAGTAGTACTAATCAAACCACTGTTACACCACCAACTAATACAATAAAAGGTAAACACTACTCAATTATGTTTAATAAATGATTAAGGTAAAAATAGTTGTAATATTAAACTAATTATATTTTTAGCAGATCAAAAAAATTGCGAAAGGATTCAATCAGTATTAGTAACAGCGGGTTCATCGAATGGTCCGATGCTTTCACATACGAACCCCAAATATCGCAAAACTTCAGATAAGGCACACGTTGCAGAACAAAGTAATAAGGGCGATTTTCTTCACAACGGCGAAAAAGTGAGTTTTTCATCGAATAATTTAAGGTTCATTATTAATTGGTATTTTTTCAGCCGAGCAACGATCAAAAAAATTTTAGAGGAAACGCGACGTATTACGCGAACAAAACGAAGAAAGTTGTCGCAGAATCGCAGAAAATGGACAGCGAAATGCAAAAGCAAGCCGCCATTGAACGGGAACTGAGGCTGCAGAAGTCTCTGACCGAGGAATGCGAAGATTTAGGAGTCGACGAGCCGAGCACCAGCGATTTGTTTCCCGAGGCAGACCTTCTCTTCGACTCGAATCATTCCCCCTCGTTCGATCAGACCTCCCAGGACGTTGTGAAACGCACTAGCCAAGTAGTGGAGATCAAAGAAGAAGTAAAAGAATCCATGAATTTGTTTAGTGACGATGAGAATTCCAGTTCGCTCCGCGGCGATTTGTTCGAATACGTCGAATATCAGCCGGTGGAGACGTTAGATTATCAAAAGAGACACGTTAATGGAACCGCCATTCAAGCAGGTTCTTCAGGATGTGACGGCAACACGCTGTTGCCTAAATGCACCGTAATCTCGGAAGTAACTTTAAATTCGCCCATATCTCCAGATATGTATCAGGAAACCGCAATGCATAAGTATAAGTTTAAATATAGTAATAGGAAAAAAGGAGAGAGAATCAAACAAGAATTCGGCGGAGAAGTTGTGTCCAGTTCGGAGGACGCAGTAGTTTGTACTGAAATAGCTAAGGTGCATTGCGAAGAAACTTACAAAGTAGTGCATTTAGCTAAAAATGATATAGTGAAAGAAGGGAAATGCGAATTGCATTGTGAGGAGGACGTTGATTCTCCGAGCGGAAGGGGAGCTAGGAGAAGCGTTAGAAAACTATGTTCCTGCTGTAATGGAGCACAGGATGGTAATTTAGCTAAAAAACGACCTCATACTTCCAGACCACATACACCGGCCACTCCGCACAAAAAAGCCTTTCTTAATAAGAAAAGATAGTGCACCACTTGTATATTTTAGCCTTTTTTAATAGTTGTTGGTTGTTTTTGTTAACGAATTGGGTCGCTGGTCACATATTAGTACAAATAATGTATTAACCGCTGGTGTATTAGTGTCTGAATGACTCGATTACTTGTATAGTAATTGCTACGTTTGCAATCTTTTAGTACCTCTAACTGTAAATTTTCCTCGTATATGTAATATACTAAAATTATTGTGCAGTTTGTCGTTGTACATATTCTCATTTAATAGATAATTTATCAATAAAACAGACTCGATCTGTTTAATTAACAAATATTGCTCTTGAAAAATGCAATAAGTTTCACATATGTGTGCAACTTCACTATTTGAAATTGTAATCTAATTATATAATTATTAAAGCATTCCATACAAATCGATTGATTAAATAAATAATTGGTATTTCATTGTGAACATCAAAGTATATGAACAACTCTGGAGTACGTTTATAAATCGCTTTCGCAATTTTATGCAGTCGATTGATTGCAACATTTAGTCGAAATTAATCATAGTGAAATACCGTGTTTCACAGTAACACATATTCCTGCAATAAACAATTAAATTGGACACTCAAAAACCGTGCCAAACATACTGTACATACATACTTCAAATTTAAACGATTTGTTTAATTTATTTATTGGCTACAAATATCGATTGATTTGAATGGAATCACATGTTTTTTAATTTATTTGTTTTATTTATTTACATATTTATTTATTTATTTATTTATTTATTTATTTAAAATATTTTATTTATATTTGTATGATAGCTTATGAGGCGTAAAATTTTAGTGAATATTAATTTGTGTAATGTATTAGTCCTTTTGAATTACATAACATTTTATACTAATCGATTGTAGTCTTTTTAATTAGTTCGGAATTACATTGTAAACCATATGTCGATCCGTAAAACTATTTCTATGGCTCCGGTAGACACTACATATTTCTCAGAACAACATTACATCGACATAAAACCGATTTAATTCAAATATAAAGGCTGATTTTAGTAAATGAACCTTTTATGAAAGTTACATAACATGATAACTTATGATAGTTACAATTCACGATCGAATTCTCAATACCTATTGTTTTCACATACAGCATATCAGTCTTTTGTACAACATGAGTTGTTTTATTATACAGGATGTTTCGAAAAATGTACTCAAATGAAAGTTTTGTACTTTATGTGTGTTCTTTCAATAATTTTTTGACCTGTGTTTCCCCTAAAACAGATTTTATCAGGGTACCAATAAAACTACTCTTTATCCCTTTATTTTTTTAAATAAAAATTTTTCAGAAAACTCCTTTTGAAATAATCAAGAGTTTTGCAATAAGTTTTTTTCGAAACACCCTGTTTATAAAACAATCCAATATTTCGTCTTACTAGATTACTAAAATTTGACTGTCAAATTTTCACGAATATAAAATATAGGAGAGTTTTATAGTGTCTAGAGTTGTCTTAATAGTGCAGAAACAATATAAATCTACATATTCATGGCACCATGGCAGAATCATTTGGGTGTTATATAGTATAAATTCCATTGTTTATCATTTCGAAAAGTAAAAGATGTGCCAACATAATTTGTAGACTAATAGTGGTTTAGGTACTACATGATTTAAAGAAAAAGTAATTATGCAATAACTTTGTGCTACTAATTGAAGAAATCGATGAAATTCGATGAGACACTTCGTTTCGCTTGATTTTGCATATAGATTATATTTTGAGAATTTGTAGAAGATAACGAACATTCAATTATTTTTTTTCCATGAAATGTAAAGTGTATTGCTGAAATGTGTGAGATCAAGTGAAATTAAAGTTATTTTTCTATTAAATACTCAAGTGAAAGTTGTTCTTCAAGAATTAGTGACAAGTTTTGGAAATGTATAATATGTAGAGTAACGTTAGGCTTTGCATTATTCTTCTCGAAAATATGAAGATAATGCATAAACATTAGCAATGAATCTTCCCCAGAAACTTCGACGAATGTTTTGTTTTAATAATTCCACAAATAATTGGGAAATTATAATTAGAGTGACCTTAAGTATTTCGAAAATTGTAGTAGATATTCCTTTTAATATTTATGATGGAGATTTGCCATGGAAGCGTTTTTAATTAATAAATTTTTAGACCGTGAGACGCAATAAAAGCCCTACTTACCGTTTGTCAAAGATTTACACGTATCAGTACATGTTATTTCCATTTAAATAATTAATACCCTTTAATGTATTGAATTGTTAAAAGTGTCTTCTAAAAGTAAAATTAATGAAAGCGTTTCCGTCTTAAATAGATCCACGTACCTATATCAATAATTAGATTGTTAGTTTATTCTTTTACTATTAGTATTAGTAATAAAACTAATAAACCACTGAGAAGTCTCTCATTGTAAAAATAATAAAGAGTGGAATGCGATACTTCTCAATCAAAACAAAACCACTGTATAATATGTTATGTATTATCAAAACCATTTCTATTAAAACTGGGTCCACAAGATCAAGTTTTAATAATATTCATTTAATATACCTAATTTAGGATATGTCAGAGAATTTCCGTACTTTTTTAAATAAATTTTTCACGAAAATGACGGCGGGTACCGACAAAGTATAGTTTTGGCACACTGATTACCTTAAGATAATTTTTTAATAAAACTAGAATATTCTACAAGTTCTTTCATATATAAATATTAATCAGAGGTAGCAAACATTTAGAAGTCTTTCTCATTATATTAATAGTCACTGTATAGTTTATGAAGTACTTACTCGCAATAAAAAATTAGTTATCAGTAGTACGTTTGCAAAATTAGAAACCTATTTTTTCTGTAAGACAATTTGGTAAATACGTCAAATAAATCTTTATTTTATGAAATTTATACCTTCTTTAATATGGTACCATCAATTTAGACTTCCAGTTTCCAATAAATGATTTACATAAGACATAAGTGCAATACCAGGAGTCCCTCATATTTTTTTAAGATTTTGAAGGATGGCTTCAGTTTTATCTTGATCATTTGCGAATTTAATCAATAATTACTTACGCTTTCAACATAATGAGTATTCCATGGAGTGATTTACCGTTTTGTAAGTACCTATTGGCATGAAGTACTATCGTACAAGCCTTAAAGTATTCACCTTATCAGCCATGACGGTTATAGTAGGAGTGGAATATAAAGGGTAATTCTATGGAAAATAATATAATGTAGCCTGAATGGTTGCTAACTCTAAATACACATAGTGATAAAAAACGTAATACATTTAATTTGTTATTATTTAACTCGAACTTTAATTGTGTGTACATTGTGCATAATTTTTTAACTGAGAATTCCTGATATTCGGTAATTTAATTTTGAAAATCTGGTCTCTGTATACTCATTCATCTATTGTATGCAAATTGGGAATTATATTTATATAAGACAAAACTTTGTATGTTTTTTTATTACAATATTTTTTCCAATAAATGTTCTTACAAAACATTTTTAATTCAATTTTATTTCGAACCGTCAATTCCAATTTAAATGGGTAAATAAATAAAACGCCATTTATTGCTAATGTATTTATTCTCTCCAGGGTTAATAAATTAGTTTAAGTAATACTAAATAATTGGTATATGTACAGATTTATTCATTATATATTAACAAAGACTTTATTGGGTCGTTGAAAAGAACAAACCGCTCCTCGTAACTAATATATTTACACTTATGAAAAATCACAATAAATGTTTGCAATGGTGATTTAGGACTCTTCGGCCTCTTCACGGAAAAGGTAAGTAGACCAATATATAACATTGAACAATGCGAAAACTAATGGAAATGTTATTCTCGAGATCACGTCGATGCGCTTTGATCTTGTAGGAAACTTCGACAACCACGATTTACAGCAATTTGGGCGTGTAGGTTGCATGTGAATTTCGCATTGGCGGACTTTGTCTAAGCTCATCGGATCGCCAGGATGTCGTACTAGAGGTTTCTGGAATTTAAAACAAGAATATCAGTACCGCCTATTACATAAGTACAATAACATCTTACCATGGCAAATGTAGCATTGCTTTCAGTGTCGATTAAATCTGAGGTAGCGTCCAAAGAAGCAGCATGCTCCAGTTCACATTGTCTCCTTTGTTTTTTCATGTTTTCTCGGTGCATGTCCGATCGGGAAGCGTAGTTTACAAGTGCAAATTCTAACAGTGCTCCAAATACGAAAGTTAGGCAAACTCCTGTCCAGACGTCAATGGCTTTGGTGTAAGATACCGGTGGCAAAGAAGCGTTGATCCCCGATGTTTGGGTGGCCATGGTCAATAGGGTTGTAACACCTGGAAATGTATCATTTATCTTATCGCGTTCTTAAACTGGATAACGCATTGTTTACCTAAGGATACACGAGCTGGTACAGCCCCTTGGTCCAGCCAGAAGGATACCCAAGATACTATTACTAACATACAACAGGGTATGTATATCTGGATTAGATAGTAACTGAACTCTCGCTTGAATAGTAGGTCTACTTTTAAACAACTATATTCACCTGAAAATAATCCGGTGTCAGTAATTGATTTTTTGCACGAATTAATTTCGTACCTGTATTTGTTTTACTGTTACAATAGTCAGTCAAAAATTTTTCTAGTGTAAACCTTGGAAGGTGTAAATTCTTAACTACTTGAACTGGGTCTCCTTGTTTCCATAAGAATACTAGATCATCGGTTGTCCAACCATCTAGAAAAATATCATTTTTTTAATGAACGAGTCATCATAAAAAAAGTTATTTAACTTTTTTAAAAAGTTTGTTAATCCAAAAATAAATACTTTTCGTTCATTCAACTATTCCTTGCCAACAAGTAATTATAATTCCGTTGAGACCTCGTGGTCTCGCAATTGCATATTTATTTGTTTACTTTCAATGTCTGGTATTTGCAGTCGCGTAAATTTCAGCTAAATTTTTGGCTAATTTTCAGGCCATTATGAAATGGAAGTTCTTTTTTTAACACTAATAATCACAATTTAAAGATTTATAAAAGCGTGCGTTGATTTTATTTTATTTTTACTTACAACTGGCCATTCGTAAGGAACATATTTGTCGATCCAGCGGATACAATTTCAGGTTCATTGGACACGACAGAGTGAGCGAAATCCTGAAAAATACGTTAAGGACTTGAAAGCGCATTAAAAAAAGGTTAATTGCAAAGACCTTTAACATTTAAATTTGCGAGACGATAACAAGCTGTGAAGTCGTGTTTAATTTCAGAGAAAATTCGCACAAACATAAATTTGTAATAAAAGAAAGTAAGAGTTATTTCACAATCAATAGATAATAAGTGTTTGTGTCGTTCGACGTGCAAGTGATGTAGAAGAGATATCGCACTTAATTATGTTGATTTTTGTTATCCTTTAGGGTAGGAAATCACAAATTCGGAATAATTTAACTTCAGATTCAGTTCAAGCGGAAAATTAGAGCAGAAAATTGAACGACAAAAATAATATCGAGTATAAAATTTCATGGGGGTAACAGCTAGTGCATGCGGTTATTACATTGATTTTCGCAGAAAAAAATTCGAGTCAAGAGTTGTGTAATTCGAGATGAGGTATATCAGACAACCTATTAGAAAGAAAATAGAAAATTCGACACACGAGACACGTGGTGAAGGCTGGAGATAATAGAATATGAAAGATGATATACCCAACAGAGTAAGAATAAGATGTAACTATCGACGTGTAGTTAATACATATAGATAATGTCAATATTAATAAATTATGATACATGTAGGTTGCTAACATGACAGGGGCTTGTGTAATTTGATGAAAATGTGTAGTGATTTGTTTACCTTGCCACCAAAAACACATATACTGACAACAATCATGCCTTTGAACCGAAGCGTGTAATTAGAGATGTCACTATTTCCAATTAAACTAACAGCTTGTAATTATTTATAGATTAATTTATTTAAAAAAAAATTGAAACTGAATGTTCTTGTTTTGGTTAGTGACATCTTCTTTTGCGATGTCAGACCATTTTAAGCTTGAGTCTGCTGTTACCTGTGTAGGATTTTCTACAGACCTTATACTATATAATACTGATCCTGTAGGAAATATGCGAATGTAGACGTTTGGCATGATGATATTGTGAAAATGGCCCTCTTTTTCATTCGAGAAAAACAGATCCGGCATCCAGACTCTGTTTGCCTCGGTGAGCGTTAAATACTTTAATCTCCCTCCGAAATCGTTAAATTTCAGCCGTTCGTCCAACCATTGCTCTCGAAAAGTAAGCTGTACACTGTATTCCTGAAAATTTTTGTCTAGTTCAAATTTTTGTTAACTGAAATCATTTCAACTCCACAAGACGATTATGTACCTAAGAATATGCTTTGATCTCGAACAATAACATATTCTAAGAGCAATTATCTATTTCAACTAATTAAACACATGCAGTAAACTATTTTCATGACATAATTAAGTAGCTATTTATGTTACCTACAAGTGACACGTTGTTATTAAATTATAAAAAAAATTATTATGGTTTTTCATTACCATATTTAGATACTATCGATTGGGGTTAGTTCGTTAAAATTTGACCTAAACGTGTCACTTTAAATTTCATTTATACAAAAAACAAAATTATTTGAAATCATTTCAAGTCTATATAAATGCTAATTTAATTAGTTCCTTGCTTAGTATTCGGTTCATATTTGCTCGAATATGAAATAATGCAATTTTGAAACTGTTTTCTAGTATTCTACTCTTTTATAATTTAATTTGTGGACGATTTAGCTAAAAAACATTGTGCTCTTTATGCTAATTTGTAAATTTAAATTCCCAAGTCCCATTTTATTTTCGGTCGATAGTGATGTCACATTTCTCTGTTTCCTGCTAGAATAGACAAATAAATTAATTCGTTTACATTTACATTCAAATTCTTTTTCTATTATTATACAGAAATTCAAATTAAATCAACACAATTTTTTACACAACATATCCAATTTATTAAAAAAACCTGTCATTTAAATTTGTCAATCGGCATTTCAGCTGATTCCAATGTCGGTGCTGTCAGCCAATGTCCCTAATTTTAGTGCGGTTTATTGTAGTTAATTCTGATCGAAAATCAAGCGAAACTGTTGTATTATATGCTTAATTAACTATGCAAACCTGTGTGCTGAGCGAGCATCACCAAAATGCACGGAACCTCGCCCAGTAAATATCAAGAATTTGTATTGACTTTCATTAATTGTTCTAAAAGAGCATGTGATGATTGTTCATTAAACAATTAAAGAAAGTCCCTTAATACGGATTATTTTAAAATTAAATTTTAGAAAAAATTAGGCATCACTATCAGCTGAAAATAAGATTTACTAATGATGGGTACTTTCATTCTTAGATAAGGTTCGGTTAATTCTAACAATATAAACAGTTATCTGAACTTTATCTAAACTTATGTGAAGAGAATTTATCAAGGAACTAGTTTGATTTGAAATTCTATATTTTACTAAGTATAGGTAAAAATAAAATGCTTATCAAAAATTCGAGATCATGGACATATCTAATTACCGCTTTACAATTAAAGTGCAAGTGAACAAACGCATTGCAAAATGGGTCTTGGTTTGCTTTGCACACGTCTTGCGAGTTCTCCTTTTTAAAATTATTTATCGTTAGTTATATTACAATTTTCACGCAATTTCTGTTGCGTTCTCGGGATCACAAATGATTTTTTTTATCTTGACGGAAATTCACTGAAGATTAATTGCTAGTAGGTACAATTTTAATTTCAAGTTTCGTTGCGAGGAAAACTTTAAGTAATTTTTGAAAATTTATTACATTTCCTATTTAATTGCTTTTTAAAAGGAAAATAAGAAATCCAGAGCTTCCTGCGATTAGCAGACCAAACTTTTGCCCCAATGTTCATTAATTTAAAACGTGTAAGCTACATTCAACTATACACGACGTTAAAATTAGTTTGGAATTATTAATGATTTTAGTTAGATAAATTACCATAAACCTGTAACTAGCAACGAGTTTCGTAACCTAAAGTTTAAAATTTGCAATTTTGTTGTATTTCCTGATCAAACTCTCTTATTTTTCATAAATTTAATTAAAAACAAAAAGATTTTAATTTAACATTATTGATTTACCTACATTATCCTATTTTTTCATGTGTATTCTTTATGTGTAGTTTGGTAATTAAATTTTATAGTAAATTTATGCACATGATATGTATTACCAATATTAAAATAAATAAATATATATTACCAGAATTGCGTGAAAAAGAGTTTCCTTGCGAGTTTAGTCCGTTGGAAGAGGTTTTAGATAAGCTGTCATTCATTTTTACAACTGTAAAAGCAGCTCATTTTATTTTCTTGCATTGCAATGCGGTGCCTTGCATAAATATTTATAAACGTAAAGCGGCTTTAATCGACAGTGTTCATTCATCATGCAGAAAAAAATCACAGCATGCACGTGTTTTCAGGAAGGGAATTAACCTAAATCAAGGTAAAGTAGGATTAAATGATGAAATAAAACCATTTTTAATGATTTATACAATCGATAGGTAAGTTATTTATTACTTGCGGGTTTCCAAAATTTGATAATTTACGCATCAAAACAGATAATAAACCGTTAATAAATAACACAAAAATTCAAAACTACAAATTTTCCTGGTACATACATGTTATCGTGATATAAAGCAATAAATGGACGGAGAAGTAAATAGCGCTTCAAAAATAAACAAAAATTTTCTAATAAAAATATTTTCAAAAAAGTGACTAATACAGCACGAAAAGGGATTATAAAATGAACAAGTTCATTCAGCAAACAACAGTAGTTGAATTCTAGCTCTTAGCTCTCACGATTTTATTTGCTGGCTTTAAAATCTCCATAATTCGCAGTAGCTTCAAGCTAACGCATAAAATCGTTACACTCACAGCTAACATCCAGCTATATTTGTTTACTAAACGGATCCAATGATTGTGTGTTAATTATTGTTACCACATTACACATAGAAAAACGTTTAAACATTCCTCAGAAAATATTAAAATGTATAAAAAGACATTGAAAAATAGATGTGATACGGACCAGTTAAGATAATTTCCCTAATGCCTACCGAATTAATCGAAGTCTCGAATCGGTATCGATATGCGGCAATTAAATCATGCGAGGTGAAACTTCGGAATTAAATGTTCGTTTAAAACAGGAAGTCAAAGCTAGAGAGTTTATATTGTTTAACAAAGGAAATGAGTCTAGTTCAACAAGTAATTTTCGTGTCGACTTCCTTTGCTAAAACGATCTCTGAAATTGTTCGTCTAAGCGAATCGAAATCCGATTCTCCTGAAATTCATGTACGAATCTATCTAATTATTCCGAAAAATCGTTTTAATTAACGTAATCCGACTTAGATGAAATTAATTACCCGACTGTGAACTGTAGGTAGTTTAATTAAATCGAATTTCATATACGGAGCATTTCTGATAAAAACCCTCATTTCGAACCATCTGCCTTTCAAAATCTACCTGCCATAAAGTTTTTATTGGTGCTTACGTTTTCCAAATGCTATTTAATCTAATATAATAAAATGCTAACATGTTGCAGAATTCTATTTAGATGAGGGAGTTTGATAGTATGTGCGATAAAGTCTGAAGTCGAGCAGAATTTTAATCGACGCTTATTACCTACTGCTAATTTAATGTTCTGCTCCTGCGAAATAAATTTTGTCAAAATGTTTTAAGAGAATCTTTTATCTTACCGATGGCGATTTTTATATTATACGTTCGATTCTTCTGTTTAATTATTAAAAAATATTTAAACACACTGGTCTATATCACATAAAAATATTTTGGTACACAAAATACTTTCAAAAATCAAAACAAACATACATAAAGAGGTGGGTGGAGGACTTTGTTTCAAATTTGGGCGGTTCATATTCAACCCTATCTTTAAGGTTTAGACGAATGTCCGAAAAGCATGTTAGCTATAACTTCAAATCAATTTTAAGTAAAATTTTTGAATTCGGCTAATCTTATCGAGAAATGGATGTTTTAATGACTTCTATTCCTCGAATGAATGTGAACCGTAAATTCGTTCTACGCTCTATGAGATTTGAAATCGGTCTGCCCTAAATAGAATATTGAACTCTTTTGTTCCCTATGAAACCGAAAAAATTATTGTCCAGTCGGATGATTACACTGCTATAATTAAATTTTACAAGTACCGAATAAAAATTTAGAAACATTACTACAACGTTTTAAAGGATCACTAAAGCTAAGGTTAAAAATTTCAGCTAGAATATTATGAATCAAAACGGTTCTAAATTTCTATTTTTCCTTTCGGGGCAAACGCGTTCAAAAACGAGGTTATATTTCATGAACAGTTAGGTAATATAAACGACGCCGTTGTTCATTTATTGCAAATAAGGAATCGTCGCATTCAAATAACAGAGGAGAAATAAAAGTCCTTACACAAACGACTAAAAGGAAAGGAAAATATTTGTAAATATTATACGCTGGAGACCGGAGAGGCATATTTAATTCTGGGATCGAATTTTTATTTGCATAGCGTAAGAATAATGACTTTGTAAACGTATTTACTTTCATTATTTTCTTTTATTCCACAATAAACAGTATAAGTTACTTGCATTGTGAAAATTCACAATTTTTACACGATTAGACATGGCGATATTTATACGGGGAATCAAAAGAAACAAATATTGTTTAGTATGTAAAATGTGTTTGCTAAATAACAACCTAATGGGTAATAGCATTATTATTTAAAATCCTACATAATTATTTCATTTTTTTTATTATACTAGATAACTTTTTGAACCAATTTGAAGAACGCAGTAATGCCTTAAAAATTTCCTATCTAATATTAAATTATAGCGTCTAAGACAGAGCAGCTCCAGGAATAAGTTACTTATTAAATTTTCGTACTGTGAAACTTTCTATTATATGCTACACTCTAATTAGATACCTACTGTATCATGTGAACACTACGTTATTGATATAAGTTTAGATCAAAGGGAAGTTTCAACAAATTTCAACTATATGGTGCTCTAAAGGTTCACTTTGAGTTATAAATTGGAAATACCGTTAACCTACCCTCTATATTGCGAAACATCTTTGATAAAATTAACTTGAATGTTAAGGGGAGAATTTCAATGGCATTTTGTTTTGCCATTGTTCGGCAGCTCATCTGCATCTAGTTATTAACCACAATAAAAATTAATACTCATTTAATTGGGAAAATTCAAATGACGCTTTTGATAATTATTGTGGTCCTAAATGGGGTCACAATGATTG